TCTATCTATCTATCTATCTATCTATCTATCTATCTATCTATCTATCTGTCACCTGATAAATAGGCATGCACCCCAAAACATTCATCAAGAATGTTCTTTTTTCCCCTTTTTATTTTCTTCTCCCACTATTAGAAGAAAAATGAGTCACCTGGTTGTGACAGAGATTCCAGAAATAGCTCAAGTTCTTTAAAGCTTAAGAAATGGTTGAAATGACAGGTTGATTGGGCAGTCTTGATTCTCTCTTTTTTTGTTAGAGAGAGAGAGAACTGGTTTATCAAGAATTTTGGTTTCTAAAAAACAGACAAACATAAACAAACAAAACATAAAAACATCAAGCTATCTTCCATAGGTGTACATACAGTGTGCTGGCTGGTTTACAAATTGTTTTGTGCTTCCATTTCGTAGTCTTCAATTACAATTACATTACATATAATCTCGTATTGTCAATCAAAAATTAAATACCTTAGTATCATTATTAATCAATCATTTGACTATACTTTTATTCATTCATGTTTTACAAGATAACCATAATTTACTTAATTTATTTTATAACAGTTCATATTATCATCCCAAATCTATCCTAATATCATTTTGTAGTTATAATAAGAAAGAAATACATCTTTATATATTTATTATTTTCTAAAAATCTACATATTTCATTACTGTACTTTATTGTCTAACCATTGATAGAAAAGATCCCAAATTTTATAAAATTGTTTATCATCTTGTTCTCTAATTTCAAATGTCAATCTACTCATTTCAGCACATTCCAATATTTTCTTAATGATTTCCTCCTGTGATGATATTTTCTCATTTTTCCAGTTTTTAGCAAATACAATCCTAGCCGCTGTTAATACATTCACAATCAGGTATTTCAAGTCTTTACTATATATTTCAGGTAAAATTCCCAATAAAAATATTTCTGGTTTCAAATCTATATGCTTTTTTGCCATTTTTCCAACCACATGTGGATTTTAGTCCAGTATTTTTTAGCATCCGCACAAGTCCACCACATATGGTAATATGAGCCAGGTATCTAATGACATTTCCAACATTTTTTGGATTTATTCTTGAAAATTCTTGCTATTCTTGTCAGGGGAAAATGCCACCTGTAAAACATCTTATACAAATTTTATTTATATGCTGTTGACATTGTCATTTTATAATTTTGAGACCACAATTTTTGCCATTTCTCTAAATCAATCCCATATCCAAAATTCTTCCCCCAAGCAATCATAGTTTCTTTAACTTGTTCTTCTTCTAGTTTAATTTCTAATAGATATCCATACAATTTTTTAATCACCTTTTCATCAGTACCTGTCAAAATCTTATCTAAGTCAGTCAGTTTATCATAGAAACCTTCTGTTTTAAAATCTTTAAAATGTATTTGCGCATATGAAAACCAATTCATCTTTATACCTTGTTCCTCTAGTTTTTGCATAGATTTAAGTTCACCCTTTTCATTCAGTATTTCACCATATCTAACTGTTTGTTCCTTTTTGTATATTATAGAATACGAGAATGCTTCAATAGTCGATAACCAGACTGGAATTTTCAAATAACATTGTCTTTTAATCTTCTCCCAGTTTAACCACAGAGACTCCCGTATATAATGTCTTCTAAAATACCCCTGTGTTTTAGTTCCTTTGTACCATAAAAAAGCATGCCACCCCAACAACAAATCATGTTCTTCTAATGTCAACAATCTAGCATTTCTTAGTGTTATCCATTCCTTAACCCACATCAGATTTGTAGCTTGGTAGTACAATTCCCAATTAGGCAAACCAAATCCTCCTCTAATTCTAGCATCTTGCAAAAGTTTTAACTTTATTCTCGCTTTCTTACCTTGCCATATATATTTCAACACAATTTTATTTAAATCTTCAAAATAGTCTTTTCCAAGCCTAATTGGAATTGTTTGAAACAAATATAAAATTCTGGGTAATATATTCATCTTGATTGTTGAGATTCTCCCTATTAGTGAGAGTTGTAAGTTTTCCCATTTCACCAAATCTAGCGCTATCTGCTGTTTAAGTTTAATATAATTATTCTCTTTTAATGTACTACATCTTGCTGTCAAATATATCCCCAAGTACTTGATCTTATTCGTGACTTGAATTTTCAATAGGTCTGCCAGTTCTTCCTTTTGTCTTAATAGCATATTCTTTGTCAAAATCTTTGTCTTATCTTTATTTATTTTCAAACCAGCCACCTTTCCATATGTCTCTATCTTTTCTATCAATTTTGATGCTGTTTCTAAAGGGTCTTCTAAAATGAAAACCAGATCATCTGCAAATACTTGCAGCTTAAATTCTTCCTTTTTGATTTTCATTCCTTTTATATTCTTTTCATCTCTAATATTTCTGTTTAACACTTCCAAAGTTAACACAAACAACAAAGGTGATAGTGGGCACCCTTGTCTTGTTCCTTTTCTTATATTAATAGAGTCTGTCAGCTCTCCCTCTATCATTACCTTTGCCGTTTGCTTATAGTATATAGCTTCTATTGCTTGGATGGATTTTCTAGCAAAACCATCTGTTGCAACAGTAATAACATGAATCGCCAATTCACATTATCAAATGCCTTCTGTGCATCTAGAAATATCAGAGCCATTTGTTTTTCAGGATGTGCCTCGTAGTATTCCAAGGTGTCCAAGATTACTCTCATATTGTCTTTAATTTGTCTCTTTGGCAGAAATCCATTTTGATCAGGATGGATAAAATTATTTAAATATTTTTTTAGTCTTTCTGCCAATATTGAAGCAAAAATTTTGTAATCTGCATTTAGTAAAGAAATGGGTCTATAGTTCTTAATTTGTAATGGGTCGGTCTCCTCTTTAGGGATAAGTGTAATATAGGCTTCTGACCATGATTTAGGTATCTTCTTCTTTAACATAACTTCATTCAAAACTTCTAGCAATGGAAGATTCAACGATTCTTGTAATGTTTTATAAAATTCTGCCAGAAGTCCATCTGGGCCTGGTGCCTTTCCATTATTTTGCTTCTTGAGTACTTCAGTTAACTCCATCATCGTTATGTTGCTTTCTAACATTTTTTCAGTCTCTTTAGGTATCTGAGGTAAATTAGCATTCTGTAAGTACTGCTTAACTCTTTCTTCATCAATATTCTCTTGATGTTTTTATGTTTTCTTTGTTTATGTTTGTTTTTAAAAACCAATAAAATAAAATAAAAAAGATTTTTTTTCTTTTTTCTTTTTTTTCTTTTGGCACTTGAAATGAGGAGAAACATCTCTTTCCTTATAGCCCCTAAACCACTAGGAGTTACAAAGGCTCTGCCCTTTTGGAATAGCACAGAGGATGTTTTGTAAATGGTCTCACTTTGTGTTCCTCAGGTCAATTTTGTTGAAATATTGAAATAATAGAGAATGTAAGTTGGTGGGTGCATCCCCACAGCCTCTCCAATATTGGAAAATTGCTCTCATGTCTCCCCTGGTCCTTCTCTTCACTAGACTAGCCAAGCCCAGTTCCTGCAACCGTTCACTGTATGTTTCATCCTCCAATCCCCTAATCATCTTGGTTGGTAAGATATGTTTTCTATGTTTTACTCTGAAGGCAGCACCATGTACCAACAGCAAGTTTGCTGAATGTGGAAACAACACCTAGAACCCAAAAGCCACATCCAGACAGAGAAAATTTGTTGGAATGCTTTGGGACAAAATTTTCCGGGTGGGCGAAAAAATTGAAAATGAATTTAATGAAGACTACATGAGTATCTTACTTAGATAATGTTCATTGTTAGGAAGGGTAAACAATTATTTTTTAAAAATGAGGAAGGAGAAATGTAATGGACTGGCAGAAGGTATGGATGGCATGACCAATTTCCCCAACAGGGTCATTGCAGACTTTTGATGTGTGTCCTACTAATTCTCCTCAAATTCTGTCTTGAGGACATCATCCTATTCCTTACATGAGAGAAAGAGATATGAACATTTCCAGAATCTTTTTGGCTTCTTGGAAAAAAAACCCCAATTACCCTCCACCAAAATATAAATTAATGCTACAATGAAATTGTAGAGGTAGATGCAGATACAGATCAACAGAGTTGGAAGGGACCTTGTAGGTCATCTAGTCTAAGATGATGTACTTGAAGATGATGTACTTGTAACCTGGCAGCTTCAATCTCACAATGAATGGAAATATGGAAGAGTACAGAATATGAGGGTCACAAAATTCAGCTTCTGGAAAAGCTCGTCACAACATGAAGACCTCCACATGATACAGATGTGACATAGTTGAAGATGTGGCATGAAAAGGCAACTGGAAACTACATGTTGCCATAGTAGTATTTGCATGGTTGCTTCAGGTGGTAAGGATAACCTTCTGAGGAACAATCTTGCTCAGTTGGTTCTTGACAATAACTCAAAAGGTCAAATCAAACAGGAAGGAAGGGGAAGATCCCAAGGGCATTATGTGTCCCAGGTCACATGAAATGTGAAATACATACACACAGGCTACTTAACAAAACTTAACAAAACAAAAGCTACTTAACTTTCTTCCTTCCTTCCTTTCTCTCTCTCTCTCTCTCTCTCTCTCTCTCTCTCTCTTTCTTTCTTTCTTTCTCTCTTCCTCTTCCTCCTCCTCCTCCCCCTCTCCTCCTCCTCCTCCTCCTCCTC